ATATACAATCAGGCCTCACACCGCCCAGTCTTTCTGCTAACTCTCTTACTTTACCGCTCACCCTTTCTCCCTTCTGACTTGTCCATTTTAGCCACATTGGCCTCCTTGCTTTTCCCTCAACATATTGGGCATGCTCCTACCTCAGGGCCTTTGCTCTTATTGTTGGTTCTTCCTGGAATACTCTTCTCACCAGTCACTCACTTCCTTTACTTATGTGTTCACGTGTCAGCCAACAAGAGAAGCTGTCCTAGACCACAGCGGTACCACCCAGCATTCCCAGTCCTCCTTCACGCTGCCTTATTTTTCCTCAAAGCACTGGCAACTATCTATTTGTTTATTGTCTGTCTCCCTCGATTAGAATGTAAGCCTCATAATGATAGGGACTCTTTTTTCTCCTTTGTGGTTTCCAGTACTTGGAGAAGAACCTGGCACACAGTAGGCGCACTATAAATAATGGTTTGGTGAATATGTTAACCAAAATACGTGAGTACTTACTGTGAGCCAGGTGCGCTCATGCAGAGGAGAACAACAAGGTGCTTCCTGCTTCAGTTATAACAATCCTATCCTGACACAGCATGGTTTTAACAAGCCAGCTAGCAGACTGTCATAGTAAATGTGGTTTATGTACAAGGCATCTTTATGCTGAGGGTAATAAAACAGCCCTACAGTGCCAAAATCCTCCAGTTGAGTGACTGGTTAACTGTTAGACCATAAATAATTTGAGTTGGCGAGAAATATTCTCACTTCAGTGTGAGGCGGTGTACTGTCACTTCTCTGGATTCCATCTGACACGTTGGATTATTACAGATTAAATAAGCAATCCTAAATGGACTGTGGCCTAGCAACACAGGCCTGAGACAAAGGGGATGGGACCCCCAAAAACAGGGGGTGTGGCGATGTGGCCATGGTCAGGCTCACACGCTACATTCATTATGTGTATTTGTGAAGGCAATAACACTTACCCCTGCTTTGTCCCCCTCGGGGTACACTGAGCATGCTATCATGCCAAGGGCATGCACGGTGACTGTCCCCAGGGACTGGAAAGTGACTCTCCGTTCTCTCCTGCTGCTACCTGTAGCCATGTCTCCACACCAAACTGCTGACTTGACAGTGAATGTTTCCTGTAGGCAGCATTTTCAGCATTTCAGAGTTGGAGCAAGACAGACCTGGATTTGATTCCAGGCTCTGCTGTCTTCTAGCTATGTGACCTTGAACAAGTTAGTTGACCTTTCTAAGCCTCTGTTTCTACAACTCTAAAAGGGGATGAAAAGAATTCTGCTCTCGTTATTAAGGAATAAACACAATAATGCACACAAAGCATTTGGCAAGGTGCCTGGCACCTTGCAAGGGTCCAGTTATCACAATTGTGGTTGTTCAAATGATTTAAGAATCTCCTCCCATGTCCTAAATGGATGTTTGCTTGCTTGTATGTCACATAAGAGGAACATGATACAAAGCAAGACAGATGTGGGAATGTTTCACTGACTTCCTCACGCCAGAAAAACGGTGTAATTAAAATAGTCTTCAGGAATGCATTCAGGGAGCAAAGAATCCCTGTGGAATAAATATGACTCAGTGATGCTCCCAGTCAGTTATATGCCAACCAATTCCATTAAAGTTTGAACCATGTCAAATTAGTGATTCACAGTTATGGGGATGGACATGGTCTAGCAAGACAGCCAGCCTGGAGGTTGGAGGATAAGGGCTCTACCTCACCACTCTGTAGCCTTGGGAGGCCTCTGAGCCTGTTTTCTCAGTTGTACATTACAGGCATGCCATCCAGACATTTCACTTTTAAACAGTCCTAGAACAGCATGTACCCTAGATGCCCATTATTAGAAACGGACCCAATACCTAAATTCTCCTTGTAATGAACAGATCTCTAGCATGCATTCTAATAATTGAGGATTAATATTAAAATAGGATGCAGCACATGGCAACAAGCAGCAACATCAGCATTTTTGTTCATTTCTCTTCCCCCTCTGGAGAATTGAGTTATCTGAAAGGTGAATTGTTTGAAAATGCCCACGTTTGCATACAGACTTTGATTTTATTCCTGTGTTTATTCTAGTTTGGTGGTCTTCAAGCTGTAGTTTGTAGAAGATTTGCTATAGACCATTAATCATATAAAGTAAACATTTTCTACTTCCTAGGTATTTAAGGGATTTTTAATAGTATTTTGCCCAACACACATTTTTTGGTCTGACTTTAGAACATAACCTCCCAGTAGTGTAGGGCCCCACAAGGAAAAGAAAACACTGCACCAGATTGTTTCTATTGTTTCTTTCCTGCCTGAAAATAAAGGTGATGGTGTAGGGGCTATTTTAAAGGAAGATACAGAAAATCAAATTAGGTCATATCCGTAAAACCACCTGGCAAGCTGTTTCAAAGGAATGTTAGCTGCTGGAACTGCCTGGGGGCAGGTTGTAACACAGATATTTTTGAAGCATCTGAGCTGCACCCCAGATCTGCAGCTGGGATGGGAGAGTGACCTGGATAGGGCCGGCTTTGAAAACGCTGATGGAGGAGGCACAGTTGCAGGAAATAGGGGCGGCCGGCCTGAAGAGCAGAACTAGGAAAGGAAGGTGGGGTGTGAACACTGCTGGCAGGAACCTATAGGGCTGGGCAGTTGAAGAAGGGTTCTATTACTTTTTCCCTAGCGCCAGAGGGCTAGGAACTCGGGGGGTGGGTGAGTATGGGAGAGTCTTCAAGAATCCATCCTAAAACCTGGGTGTGTGGCTCCCAGGCATCTAATGGACATGTGTCCCCATAACTGTCCCTTTCTCTTGCCAAGAAGAACCCTGTTCAATCACAGGTGTGGGCACGTGCCAAGAGGGGACCTCAGCCCCATAGGGAGCAGCACCTTAGAGGGCCATTGAGGCCAGTCCCTGTCACACAGCAGCATGTGCTGCCAGGTTGTCAGGGTCTGGATACTTGGACACCCCTCTGATTTGAGTTCTCCAGAGAGTTCTAGGCACTGTCACAGCAGATCTTCTGACATGAGTTCAAATCCTCTTTGCTACTTCCTAGCTCTATCATGTGGAGATGTGAATAACAGCATGCAACTGTGGTAGGAAAATGAGCTTCTCAGCATTTTGAACAGAGCTTCTGGCAGACCTACCATTCAGGATGAGGGGGACGCTTCTCTGAGACTGGGTTTGTCTCAAGAACCAGAGGAATCCAATGTTTATACACATTCCTGCAAACAGAAGCACAAAGGTTGTTACATACTCCTTGAAGTGGTGACATAAGCACCAAATGTAAAAGGGCTGTGGCCTGACTGTGTGTGTGTGTGTGTGTTGAGGTAGGGCATCTCTTTGTGCCAATCCACGGTCCAGCAGAAACACTATATTGACTCCATGGATTGGTGTGAAAATTAAAGGAAACCAGGAAAGTAAAGCATTGAGCATGGTCTCTGGAATACAGAAAGTGTCTAATTAATGAGAGTTGTTGCTGTTGTTCTTCATCCAGTGGAATTTGCTGGGAGGGGAGAGTGAGCTGAAAGAAGATAAACCAACCCAGTTAAGGATCTGATTCCCCTCTCATTACCTAAATCCCTGAGGGCCAGGAGAGCCAACACTCTTGTGTCTGTCTAGAATGAAGCTCAAGCTCAGGATCCCTTTTCTTTCCTTAGGTTGTGGCCTCTCTTTCTTAGCCTTGAAAGATGTTTAGCAGAGTTTGGGAGAGAGTTGAGCAGAGTGGCCCCCATGAATCTCAAATGGCAAACATCCCCTTCATCCCAGGACTGACTCTCCCTGTGTGTTCCATCACTTGTTACCTGTTTTTCATAAATGAAGAAGTCTTTCCCCTCATCCGGTGACTTCAGGAATTCCTTTCATAGTTCAGTGCCTGCAGGCACGACATGAAATGGTGTTACCATTATCTTTTATTCTGCTGCAACACAAACACAAACCAGACCCAAGGCCCACGCGTTTCTTGCTAGCCTATCAGGATGTGCTGTCTCCTCAGACTGAACTGACGATATAAAAGGCTTTGCCCTTGTCTGTTTGCTGGTTCAGTCTCTGACAGCAGTATCTTGTTCCTGGGCCACGGACTTTTTCCTGGCAGTCCAGGTCAGCAGAAGCAGGAGCTGACATGGAATGCATACAGAACCCAGACAGGTCCATCTTCCAGGTGACAGGTATCCAGCCCATCAAACTCCTAGGAAATCTCTTTCTTTATATCTCTTCTTTATTAGTTGTTTGAATTGGGTTATAAGCAACGGAGCCCAAGTCTGGCTGAACTATGCAAAAAATTAGCATTGACTAGAAGAAGAGAAGGGTGGCTCTCAGAATTGAGAAAAAAGGACAGGCAGGCCTCAGAAAGGACAGACTGGAACAGGCACAGGGTTGAGTTAGCAGAAGGACAGCCACTGGGGCGTATCTGCACCATGCTGCTCATGATCCAGGTTCCCTGGAGATAGACTGATTGACCCAATGGGTTCACAGGCCCAGTGGACAGTGGAGTTTTTCCCATAAGAAATCTAAATACTGTTACTGGAGAGGCAGTGAAGAGGCTGGCCAGAGAAGGCAAGAGTGTCCACTGAAGGGACAGCAACCAGCCCTTGCTCTGAGATTCTCTGGTGTCATTCAGCACATATCCTTCGGATCAGGTCAAACGGGACAAGGGGAGGAACACTTTTCAGTGCCTCCGTCCCTCAGAGAAGAAGGTAGGAATGTTCCAGGGGGCCTGAGCAGTCTTCCAAAGGGGGACCTAAATTTCTGTACATTCCACATCACTCCCTCAAGCCCCACAGGACTTAAATCTGTTGCCAATTTCTTTCTATCTAACCTCAACCTCTTTGGCTGTTGAGTGAAAAACTTTCTCATGAAACACAATCTACAGGGCAGGGTGGATCAGGGGAAGGAATCCTATGTTTACAGCCCAAAGGTCTGCCTATCTTCTGAACCTGTTTTCTGGTATATGAAACGGGAGGGGCCATTTCCTGTGCTACCTCACAGGAAGGAGGAGAGAATGAGTGTTCTTGAAAATTCTTTGCAAACTGTGAATGTGATGTGTCTGTGAAGACAAAACCTGATCAATATTCAGGAACAACAGTGAGTGTAGACGTGTTTCATCAAAAGACAGGCCAACTGGAGAACAGTGGAGGAAAGAAGGAGCAATCCAAGTAAGTGCCCTATACCTGAAGATCAAATTTCAAGAATTCTTTAGGAATTCAAGCAAATACTGGAAAGCACAAGAGGGGAGGAACAAAGGAAGAAATTAATTTGAGATAAAGAGCCTAGGAATCAGATATCTTCCATTCGTGTGTTTGTTTATTCATTTAATAAACTAAGTTCCTATTACTTGACAAACATGAATTCAGGGGAGACAGAGATGAATAAAGGCTAATCTCCTTTCTAAAGTCCTAACAAGCAAGGAAGAAAGTTGGGAGTTGTGTCCCTAAGGAATATTTTTAGCGTATGCTAAAACAGAGGCAGTCATCTTGATTTCTTTTTTAAGAAACTGGAAAAAAAGAGGTGATAGAAAATATCGAGATACCTTAACACCTTGGCTTTTTGGTCTGTGAACCTCTAAGGCCGAACCTGAGTTCCCTCCCCAGAGGAGGATCCCTGAAGGTATCTCTTTCATTCACTAGGAATTACCAAGTTCCCATAAAGTCAGGGGTAAGTCATCCCAGCTTTAGAGGCTGAATGAAAATTTGAATAAATTTCCCTTGTCTTTGAAGCTAAACAAAAGTGCCCTAACTTTGGAATCAACTGTAATATTAACACCCATAGCGGGGTGGTGTGTGTATAATTTATGAGTGAGTGGATTTCTTTAATTAAGAAATTAGCATTTTCCCAGATTGGACTGAAGTGTATCTTGATCTAAAGAAAGACACTGGGGGGCGCCTGGGGGGCTCAGTTGGTTAAGCTTCTGCCTTTGGCTCAGGTCCTGATCGCAGGGTCCCAGGATCCAGCCCTGAGTTGGGCTCTCTGCTTGGTGGGGGGTCTGCTTCTCCCTCCTGCTCTGTTCCTCCTCCCTCCTGCTTGTGTTGTTTCTCTCTCACTTATGTTGTCTCTCTCTCTCTCTCAAATAAAGAAAATCTTAAAAAAAAAAAAAAGCCATTGGAACCCCAAGCTAATTTTTGCAGGTCTCATTCTGTCTAGAGGCGAAGACTCAACTAAGAGAGATGATTTTAATTTTGATGTTGTTAAGGAAACACTTAGGGTCATTATGTACTAATCAGAAGCAGTTAACAATTGACAATCACTGTAATTGTTCAGCGACTTTCTGAGAATGAATCTAACTGCCTCTACAATACCTTTGATCATGCCATTCTCTAAGAATGGAGATGACTTATTGTTCTATTATTTGCCCAACCAAAACTCATGACAGGCATTGTCATATATGTGCCTTTATAGTCTCTGGTCTAATGAAAAGTGTAATTAAACCAAAAGGAACTTTCACAAATGAGTGCTTAGGGACTGATGCAGAAAACTTTTAGAAGTGTGTGTGTGTGTACGTACGTGTGTGAGTATCTGTTTAACCAAAGCGATTTGGACCAGCTAAAGAATCCCTTGACAGTGTTAAACCACACAATAAATTAGAGCGAGCTGTCTTCTGTAGCTTCATGTGAGTGATATGAGCATATTGACAGTAGAATTGAGCCTGTGGGATGGGAATGTGATAACAGGACTCCTTACAGTAAGATGCTTGTGATTGCAACATTTTAAATGGAATGTTTAGTTACCTTTGGCTCTTTTCCTTTTCTAATCTCCCCTCCCCTCTCCTTTTGGCCCAGTAGGGAAATATTATAACACAATGAAGAATATTTTAGAGAAGTAAGGGAAAAAATAAAAGCCCTTAAAAAAAGGGAACAAATTAGCAATTAATGCTCCAAACACAAGTAAAGCCCATTATCCTTTTATATTTAAAATCAGTTTGCCTTGTTGTGTTTGACTACTATTTTATCACAAATAATCGCCTCAATTTGGTGCCTTCTGTGTTCTTCAATCCATTGCAACTAAAATCCCACTTAAGATTTTAAGCAAATGCAAAATTCCATCAACTTGCTGAGAGTGCAGTCTCATTTAGTGTTTAATGGAATTTCATTTTACGCAACCTTACGGATATTCTGATTTGCTAGTTTAGTCACTTTAAGTGGGCAATGGAAGCTCAAGGATGTTAACATAAAGCAAATCAAACATGACAGTTTTTACTATGCTTTTACACTGATGTTTAAAGTCACAAAATAACATCCTTTAAATTTTGGCAAAAACAATTCTCATGAGAACTTTGCTGTGTATGGGTGAGACAGGTGACCTTTCGGGGATATTCACTCTCAATATTTGAGCAACCAACATACAACACAAAAATATCCACTGCCAGCTCACTATCATCCCCTGCAAATTCCCCTCCAGAGATTCCCCAGATCATAAGGAAGAGGCAGTAGTGCTGAAACTCAGTGATGAATTCCGTGGGCCACTGAGGGTCAGCGACTTAGAAAAACTTGGCTGTTTCCTCCAGGTACAGTGGTGCAAGTGACAGCAGTTCTCTCTCTTGACCAGGATAGGATTGTGGTAATTGTTGGGAATCCTGTTAATCAAATTGTTACTAGTCGGAATATTTATGGTCTTTCAAGTCTCATTTGTGTAAGGAAGTTACCAGTTTCCAGCTTCATCAGCCATGTGGCCAGCCCTTTCCACAAATGAGAGATGTTTTGGGGAAGGAAATAAAAGCTGTCTCGGGATGTTTCAGAGAAGCCATGAAGTGGATGAACCTTTGTGGTGCACCCTAGAAAGTCCTAGCCTAATGTTACTGGGACAGATTCACAATCCGTTGCTCACAGGTCTCTCTGCTACTGTTGACTTTTCCAGATAAAACAACAGAAATGAAGCCACTTCACAGTCTTACTTGTCCAGACTCTGGACTCAAGTTTGGGATTCAGATAAAAATTTCAAAGGCTCTTCCTGTTTCTAAAGTTGCTTACCAAGGAATATAAGATAGGTTTAAACATGTAATTTGTGTTCTCATAATGAGATATTTCTATAAGAGGTACAGTGAGGCAGGAGGGTTGAGATCAAGCTTTGCCATATTGTGACTTTGGATCTCAGCTTCCTCCCCTGTAATGTGATTCAGTGAGATGTCATGGAGACGTGAAGTGACAGTTCATACCATTGAGGGAGAAAGAGTGGCTGGTGCACTGGGCTGACAGCCAGGAGGCCTAGACTCCACTTTGGCCCTAGAGAGCTGGCTCTGGGTCTTGGGAAGCTAATTCATTTCTCTGAACTTTTTCTTCCTTTTTCCAAATGAGAGGCTGGGACCAGGTGTCCCTGCTCATCTGGTGACGGTTACCATTTTTTATCCACTCTGCTTGGAAAGTCAAGTTTCTGAGTCCTTAGTGTTTTCCAGTGGGTGGGCTGGCGGTGGAGCAGCAGGGTTTTGGAATCGGTTGTGTCTGAATTCAAGTTTGGGCCTCACTACTCTTAGCAATATGGCAGTGGGTAGATACTTAGCATCTCCATGCCTGTTTCCTCCTACATGGAGGTCATGATGATGTCTTCTCATAGGCTGACATGAGGATGAAACTTAAATTAGTAGAAGCAAGGCACTTAGTACAGTGCCGGCCATATAGTAAATGCATGTCTTAGTTTCTTGGGGCTCCCTTAACAGATTACAATCATAGATGCTTCAAACAACACACATGTGGACATTTGGGGGAGGGGGGGGCATTATCCTGCCTACCACAATGTTCAGTTAATTTTAGCTGTTGTATGGAATGGAAATTTTGCCCCAGCTTAGTTTACTTTACTAACTTCAGCACTGGAATGGAAATTACCAAAGAATTAAATTTCACTGAGTAGAAACTGGGGAATCATGCTCATTCTGTAGTTTGCCTTTGCTTCCTCCAATACAGCACAAGCTTCTGCTGACATAGGACTCCTGGTGCACAGAGTAAGTGATGTTCCAATGAGCTGGAATTTTAGCATTCTGATTCAGCTGATATTTCTAGCAAACTGTTGACCTAGTACTGTTTATTTAGGGGTTTTTTTGGTCTTGGTGGAGTGGCAATTCAAGTCAAAATTTGTCATGCCATTTCTCACACATCTGCTGCTTTTACCTTTAGAAAAGGCGGTTTCAGTGTTTATGGGGGAACCAAGGTTTTATGGTTTCCATCGAATATTTGGCCTAAAATCTGAGCTTTTAGAAAACCTGATGATTGTATCCTTCAAAAGTGCTCCTAGGCCTAAGTGGCAGAAACGCAACTAAAAGTGGCTTAATCTGAAATGGGAAGTTGTTCGTTAATGTAACTACAAAATCTTGAATGGATCTGAGTCCAAGTTTGACTAGATCCAGGGACTGCACAGTATTGGGAGGGTTAGAGTCTCTCTATCCCCATCTCTATGCTTCATTTGCACCTACATTGGCGTCACTCCAGGGAGAGACCCCTCAGAACTCTGGACCCTGGCAGTTCTGGCCTTGGATTAGCCTTATGGCAAGCAAATCCAGTGCAGACAGAGCTCTTCTTCCTTCAAAATCCAAGCCAAATCCTCGGATTGAGTTTTCTTAGATCAGCTTATGTCATGAGACCACCTCCAAACCAAATCAGTCTGACCAGTGCAATGCTTGGCCAGGCTGAGGTCAAGGCCACCCTGGAGGCCTGTTCAGCTCCACCCCAAATACGTTGGTGGAGAATAAGGAGAAATGATTCCCAAGGAAAATCAAAATGACGTTTCCAGAAAAGGAGTATTAGATATGCAGTATGCAAAGCTAAGTGATGTCCATCTCAGGTGAGGTTTTTATTGCTTCTTTGGAAAATGGAGCTTGTTATGTCTTCTGTCTTATTTGGGCACCAAGCATCCCCTGCTGGACACTGGACAGGCGCTCCCAGAAAATGTATGGGTGTTGGGACAAATGACACAGACACCAGAAGATGTGAAATAATGTTTATTAATCACATATAAATAGCCATAGGATTTCCTGAGAAGGGCTCAGATTCTATTCAGAAGGAAGCAAGAAGGAGGGAGCATCAGGTGGCTTTGGAGTTTTTTGGGTATTTAAGGGATAGGGTTGGGGTAAGGATTTCCTGTAAAGGCTGGGGTTTGAGGAGTGTGAAATCCCATTCCAGGGCCTAAGCTTCCTTATGGACTTGCCCAGATGTGGGGCAAGTCATAAACGGGAAGGGATGGGGTCTGAAAGCTATCAGTGTCAAACCTCAAAAATGGACTTAGACTCTTTTTCTAAAATTTTTTTATTTTTATTTTTTTTAAAGATTTTATTTATTTATTTGAGAGAGAGAGAATGAGAGATAGAGAGCACGAGAGGGAAGAGGGTCAGAGGGAGAAGCAGACTCCCCGCTGAGCAGGGAGCCCGATGTGGGACTCGACCCCAGCACTCCAGGATGATGACCCGAGCCGAAGGCAGTCGCTCAACCACCTGAGCCACCCAGGCGCCCCTGGACTTAGACTCTTAATTATACTTTCTTTCCCTACTTTGAGGAAAAAACAAAAACAAACCCATAGAAGTCAAGGGTTTGAAATCCTGCCTACCTAAAACAAGCCTTGACTCCCAGTATTTATTTCTGATCAGTGTTGGAAAGGGAACATGTGGAAATTTTCCAGGCCACTTCCTGTTAGTGGGTCTTATAATATACATAGGAAATGGGTATGCATTGCACACGTGAGTTTCAAACAATAAGCAACAACAATGTATCTTTCCTCAGAGGAAAATGGTTATCATGGAGATAAAGCAAAGATAGCACTAAGCTCTGGTGGCTGCACGCTTGGCATGGTGCTAGGATTGATATTTACAGAGATAAATAAAGCCTAATGTTCCTGTCCACAAGGAGCAGGTGAGGTGGTTCATGAGATCACTGCACAACTCCAAAAAGCCCCTAAATGCAAGCGGGGTCCTGCAGCTTACATACAAGTGGTGTAGGAGGTGGTGACACATTATTTCTGACTGAGGACATATTGCTACCAGGGTATGTTTTGAAAAGGTGATTTTCGATATAATGCTTGACAAGCTAGAAGCATGTTGATGCTCTTAAGACTGGATGGATAGATATTTGGTTAAAAGATTACCAATTATATGACCATGCAAAAGAGCAAACTAGTGTATTCCACATCCTGAAGGAATCTCACAGATAGTTCATTGAGCAAAAAAGGCCATTCAGTATGATTCCATGCATATGAACTTCAAGAACAGGCAAAAGTAATCTATGAGAATAAACGTAAGCAATTACTTCAGGGTAGATGTCGGTAGTGACTGGGAAAGGGCACAAAGTAGCCTTTGGGAGGTGGAAAAGGAGCTGTAAATGTTCTCATCCTGACTTGAGAGAGGTTACAAGGGTGCATATATGTAAACATTAATAAACTGAGCTTTAAGATTTGTCACTTAACTGTATGTGCATTTTATCTAAATGAAAAGGGAAAAAAAAAGGCAGAAATACCCTAACAGTGAAAACCAAACTTATATGCATGTGGAAGGCTGAATAATGGCCCCTGAAAGATGTCCACATCCTCATCCCTAGAATCTGTAAATATATTACCTTAGGTGGCAAGAGAGACTTGACAGATCATGATGATTTTGAGGATCTTGAAATGGGGAGTTTAACCCGGATTATCCAGGCAGGTCTGATGTGATCATAAGGGGGGCATTGTAAAAGGGAAGTGGGAGAGTCAAAGGCAGAAGAGGGAAATGGGAGAACAGAAGCAGAGGTGCTGGTGATGATCTCTGAAGATGGAAGAAGGGGCCATGAGGCCAGGAATACAGGTGGTCTCAAGAAGCTGGGAAAAAAACAAGGAAACAGATTCTCCCTAGAACCTCCAGAAGGAATGCAGGCCTACTGAGACCTTGATTTTAGTCCACTAAAACTGATTGATTTCAGACTTCTGACCCACAGAACTATAAAATAATAAATTTGTGTTGTTTTATTCCACTAGGTTTATGATAATTTGTTACAGCAGCTGTAGGAAACTCATACAGTAAAAATTATTTGGCAAGGAGAGAATTACACCTGTATGCTCTTTCTAATCTCAATTCATCTTCATAACTGCCCTTTGAGGCTGATACCATTATTTATCATCATTTTGTAAAGGAGAAAAGTGAGGCTCAGTTAGGTGTCCCCCAAATAAAAGAAGTAGAGAAGCCATGATTTGGGTGCAGACTTCAGAGCTCAAGATTTTCATCAGTCAGTTTTGCCCTTGCCAAGCAGAAGAGCCAACAGCAGCAAAGCTGCAGAGGTCATGGTTTGGAGGAAACCAGAGTGCAAGCCATGCCCCAGGAGCAATCCCATGGCTTCCTTTCTAGTGGGCATGTTCTGCCTGTAGAGCTCTAAACCTGGCCTCCTCTACAGTCCATGGCCATGAGGAAGACAGTATGGATTTGTCAGGTTGCTATAAAAGCTTTGGTGACTGGAGACTTGTTTCAGGACTATGGAGAGCAGCTGAAATATTTCACTTGTGCCCACTGGGCACCACATTTCATGAAGATGGCGTTAACTAAGTTCACTAAAAAATAAGTCTCTCCCTGAATGTCCTGTACTGAGCTGCTGCTGTCACTTATATTCATAGATACACACGTATATGTGTTTGGTTTTATTAGGGAATTATACCAACTTATTGGCCCTGTCTCCCCAAATTATACCAACTTATTGGCCCTGTCTCTCCTAGGAGTCTAACAGACCCATCTTTATTTTCCAAATGGGTAGTCAGAAGATTGTTCAACTGACCTATACAGAGAATTACATCAAGTAATACAGGAGCCAAACCTGTGATGCTGGTTTCTGGAGCTCCACATTCAACGCAACTGAGAATAGGATATGACTTGCCCAGTTAACTGAAGGAAATGCTCATTTTTCTCTAAGCCTTTTGAATATTTTTGCCAGATGATGGCTCTGCTCTCTACTTTGCTCAAAGAAACACACTTGTTAGGACTGAGGGCTTTGGGGGCACCTCCTACCAGCTGTGTGACCATTGCAGGCCACCACCCTTCAATATATGTCATGTATCTGAAACAGAATGTTTTCACTCTTCCAAACTCAGAAAGGATGTCAGATCTTTCAAAAACTTCAGAGATCATCTAGTCCAATTTCTACATTTTATAGGTGGAGAAATTTGGCCAAGAACAGAGGTGAGTAGGCAAATGGCCAAGAGAGAAGTGGGTGACCATTCCAACTGTATGGACAACTGTCAGTGCAAGGTTGGCTGATCATGAAAAAAACATTACGATCAGAAGCATTTCCGGTAGACTATTAAGATCTATGATATGGTAATCATTTGAACAACTATGGTTATTAGTCTTATTTGCAGACACAGTGTTCAATTATGCAGAACATTCAAGTGCAACAGTCCCATGGAAATTTCTCAGCCATCAGTGCTGAGAGACTATTTTAAATGAATATATTCAGTGGTTTCCTCAGACCTACTTATCATACACAGGAGACCAACTTCCCATGGAAAATCAGTTCACTATAAGGGGAGGCATGGGAGCTTTAAAACACTTCTTATTGCACAGTAGCCAAACAGTTTTTTGAAAAAATAATCTTACCCTCTTGTCTTCCAGGCTGTCCAGAAGGCTTATGCAAATCTCCAAGAAAGCAGAGGTTAGTTTGTTGGACTTGTCCTAGGGAGCATCCCTATACAGAGAAATCAATACCTCATTATCCATGGAGCCCTCCTGATGCTCACAGGCTGGTTTTATGTATTTATTTGCAATGTGAAGGGAAGCAGGCCTAAAATAAATACTTATATAGAGACCACAGCATGCATATCACACACATACCCAATTCAATAACTACATTATATGGACACTCCTCTGGAAATCTCAGGACTCAAAATACTCTGTTGGATTTCAGACACCTGCCAGAATCACTGCTCTCACTATCGGAGAATTTTGCCAAAACTTGCCAAAATTCTCCTTTTTCTGGTTGTGTTTTCTCACATCTCTGCTGTGGACTGTGACTAAGCCAGGGCCCCTCTAATGAGTCTTGAATGAGGCTTCTTCCCATGGGGAGCTTGTCAAAGTTAAGGAAGGTTTGACCATAGAACAAAAAGGACAGAGCATCCTACCTGGGACTTGGAGGGTATTCTTTAAAACGATTTCAAACTGGCCTAAGTGGTACAAGGGGGTGAGGGATGGGGCTTGGGGTTGACCTCTCAGTTGAACAAAATGCATTCTACTGATGAGTGTGGCTTCAGTGAAAGACCAGAAGGCAAAGCTCTGGATTTGGCTTTGTGTCATAGGGTGAAGGGTTTTAGTTCCCTGGGCCCAGAGTCTGGAATGATAAGCTTTCCAAACCTGTGCACTCGGCTGAAGAAAAGACTCTGCAGCCAGAACAGAATTTTTTTTTTTTTTTTTTAAAGAGCCTTTACTGCAGATTCCTTTTAGCCTAGAAAGGGTTTCATTCAATGAAGAGTCCATGAATGGGACCTCTGGGGATACTCCTTAAAATAGATCTGGATATTCACACATGGCCTGTTCTTTGGATAAGCTCACACACGGATTTTAGAACTACCTTTACCATAAAGATCACATCTTTTTATACCTTCACATGCTCCCTCTGTCAGCCTCTAGCCTTGGTCTGCCCATTGCATTAGGGATTCTTGAGGTTTTCTTAGCAAGTGAAGAATGGTGATAGGATGTCTCCCATTACCCAGGAGCTTGTCCACCTTATGAATATATCACTTAGTTTGGATGCACTGGTATAGCTTTTCAGTCCTGGAGAAAAGACATGGGAATACTTATTATTCTAAGGACATTTTTTTTTTTTTTTTAGTTCAGTTGAGCCGTTGCTCTGTCCTTTAAGAAGTCCTGTGCTCCAAGTTTGCATCCCACTTAATGTACAAAGGCAGCTCTGGGATAGTGGATGAGAACACTGTACTGCTGTTAGTTCTTTATTCATTTATTCAATGAGTATTTTCTTATTCATAATTTACTATGTGCCTCTTTGCTAAGTGCTATGCATATAGAATCAGTAAGGGAGTCCATTCCTTGCCCTCATGAAGCTTCCTTGCTTTCTAGTGATGGAAATGGAGTAAGCACATGTGATGCTCTCTGGATATGATAAGAAGAAGGAATAAAATAAGAAGGAGACAATGTCAGCACTGTGGAGGAATCTCACTAGATTGTGAGCACAGAAGGTCTCTTGGAGGAGGTGGTACTTAAGCTGAGACTTGAACCTTGGGAGAAAACTAAGACTAGAATCAAAAAAAGAACATTCCAGACAGGAAGATAGCAAATGAAAGGCACTGTGGCAAGAGAGAATGTGGTGTATTTGAGATTAGAAAAAGGAAAAGCTGTTTAGTAAGAGGGGAACCTAGCTAGGAAAGAGGAGCACAAATGTCAGAGAGGTGGGCAGAGGCAAGATCCCAGAGAAGCTTGTAGGCTGGGGACAGACATTTGTGTTTTATTCTGTGTACAGTAGGAACCATTAAAGTATCTTAAGTGGGAAATGATGGGCTCTGGCTGATACCTTTCACTGAAATTTGATTCATGCTGAGGATAAATTAGAGCATGGAAGCCAGGAGGAGGGGCTGGGAGACTGTCCCCAAAGTCAGACCAGTGGCAATGGTGGTTTGGTCTAGGGAAATGGTAGAGGAGGAAAAACAGACAAGTAGAAAGATAGAGGGGCAGACTATGAGTCCAGAGATGCACTAAGCAAGGTGATGGCTTTGGTGTAGGAGGGATCCCCAAATGTTAGCTTAGTGGACAGCATGAAATAGGTGTTAAATGAAGGTTTGATCTGAAATGAGTCACATTTGGAGTTTTAAGCTCAAATTCAATCTTTGCTTCTTGTGCATCTTTAGGCTCTAGGGGAGGAAAATTAATTTCCCCATTATTCTTCTAGGTTCTTGGCTGAGACCCCCTTCCCCCATAATAAAAAGACAGATTAAGATGAGGAAAACAAATTTAATTACATACATACCTATGGTAGCTCTGCAAAGATAGGAGACTCAAAGGCAGTCAGACAATGAGGAAAGGGATAGGGGTCTGGGGCTTTAAAGGGGAGAAGGCAATTCACAAGAAGGGGAGAGGAGGAAATCTCCTCTGTTTGGTAAACCAAGGTAGCTCTGCCATGCATGTAAGTCTCTCAGGGGAAAAAGTTCTCTCTGGAAATAGCTCTCTTCTCAGTGTAGGCTGCCTACCTAAATTTCTTAGGCATTAAGAAGGAGGTAAAAAGCTTTGCCTGCTCTGCTGGGTCCTGATTGCTTTCAGCTCCACATGCCAAAGTGGCCTATTTTGAGGTGGCACATTCTGCTACCCTTCAGGGCAAATCCTTTACCCTCTCTCAGTGAGGGTTGGAAGGGATGGCAGATCTGCAAGTCCATCGTAAATGGCCAGCCACCCAGATACAGGGGTTATGATGTAGATGGGCATTTCTGGAGACATGAGTGCTCATACTGATTTTACCAAGGGCTCTTGGTGTTCACTGACCAGGGCTTGAGTGCAGGGGACCAGGAGAACTCGGTGTTTTATTTCCACCTCTACCCTGACTTTGAGCTTAACTCCCTCTGGGCCTTCCTATGCCAGGAACGCAGAGAACTCTCCTTGCCCTTCCATTATTGACTTTGGATGAGTTTGTCCAGACCTTGTCAATTCAGGTGCTCATTTGGCTGATGGACAAGAGGTTAGTGAGAACCAGGCTGCTACCACACACCCATCTCAGGAAAATCAAAGAGCAGCTGGGGGCTCTTGGGGGCTTGTTCATTATGGAGAGCATTTGGGTGTGTGGCTAATTATATGCTTTATTATGGATGCTAATTTGTGCTGGAAGCTGGTACCGTGCATGTTAGCATTTAGCTCTAGTTAATGAAGTTAAGCATTCAATATATCACCGAGCTCACAATTTCTCCTCTTGGCTAGAACAACTTGGTGTAGAAAACTAATGGGTGATTGTGTTGGGGAAGAGAACACACTCACAGAGTGAGTTTATTCCCTATAACTCTGGGCTGTCTCTGATGTTGTATTGTGCCTGCACAGTATTAATGCGAGATAATTTTCAGTGAGATAAAATCCTGGGCTCTGTTAAGAGAAGTATCACTGTGATTACTTATGAGCATAATTACAAAGAGCCCCTGTGTGGGTTCCAATGAGGCCAACTGGAACCCTGTGGTTTCTTTTAAGACAGTCTTCATGTTTTAAGAAGAAGAAATGGAAGCTGGCGTAAAAATGCATTCAGCATGTCCCACTCAGCTCAGACCTAAGTTTAATCATCACTGATAACTTTAAAATACAGAGGATAAACAAACTTACTTTTGACCTTTGCAATGAAGAAAATTATCTATTTGCTCTGTTCTCATTGGTGTTAAGAGGAGTTATGCTTGTGAATCTCTGATACATCAGTGAGATAATAGACTTCTGTGTGAGCCATTTTTCTTTTACTGCCATCTTTCATGTTGGGCTGAAAGGAGGAAAACAAAAACAAAAACAATGTCCTCTATGAAGAACCACTTTGATTGACCCTGATTCTTAGGCATTCTTCCTCAGGGCCCAACTCCAGAGACCAGGCCCTCTGAAGGGTCTGACAGGGAAGGGGTTCAGCTGCCCTGATGGGGCTGGTTACTAGAGCCTCAAGTCTTCCAGAAAAGCTGGTTTGAGAGCTTGCAAGAATCCTCACTGTCCACCCCATAACCAAGGCTTCAGTCATGCCCTTTGTCATCTCATGGGAATTAGCACATTCTCTCACTGCACTGGTGTGTTCCATAGTCTTGTTGGGCAGGTAACTGGCTATCTTTCCTTGAGTACTTACTAAGCACCAACCACGATGCTTGGATGCTTAAAATGCAATACCTCACTCCCTCCTCATTGCTGCTTCACTGAGGCCACTGCCCCTTGAATGCCCAGATCTCACATGAGAAAAATAGAGAACACAGAGGACAAGGGGAAATGACTCTTAAGTCAGATTGATTGCCATGTTCAATGTTCTAAACCAAGGGTTGGCAAACATCTTCCTTTAAGGGCACATAGTGTGTATTTTTGGCTCTGCTGGCTATGAGTTCTTTGTTGTAACTCACCCCTTTCTCATGTAGAGGGAATGGACCATAGACAGTATGTAAATGATGGGTGTGGCCATGTTCTACTAAAAAATTTTTTTGCAGAAAATGTGGGTAGCCAGACTCAGCCTGTGCCCCGTAGTTTGCCAACCCCTCTTCCTAAACACTTGCTCCTTTTTCCTCCTTCAGGATTTTTGGTGATGATCTTGGGTTTTGGAGTCCCATAGAGCTGGGCTCACATTCAGTCTCTGCCACTTGCTCACTATGTTATGTTGGAGTAATCACTTAATGTTGGTGAGCTTGGTTTTCCTCCTCTGTTAAATGGGCTGAAGGACAACCTAAGAGGGTAGTTGAGAAAATCAAATGAGAGAATGAGTGTGAAGCATGGAGTACAGAGCATGGCTCTGGGAGAGCCGATGGACTGGTGGCCCTAGGTCCTTGGGAGATGCTCTGCTGACCCTGCTCCTGACTCCAGGGAGAGTCAGCCTCCGTCTTTCTGCAGTACCTGAGCCTCCCCAGAGCAGGCAGGGAATGTTCTGGGGCCAGAGATCCACTTTCAATCCTGCTTCTGTTTCCAAAAGAACAATTTGGCATCAGGGAATAAAAGTCA